ATAACTTCTTAAATAGAGACTATAATATAATTAATAAAAAATATATAAATAATTATAGGATAAAGGAATATATTAAAGTATTAGGCTATAAAAACTAATCTTAAGGATAAAACTAATAGGGAGGGGGTATTATATTATAAATTAATATATACTATAAAGAGTTATATATTATACCTTACTTTTTCTCTTATCCTAGCTAATTAAGAATAAATTACTTTAGATTATTAGTAAGCCTCTATAATTTAGAGATAAACTTACTTTAGATTACTAATAAGCCTATATAAGCTACTTAATATATATATATACTTATTTCCTTAAATAAAAATACTCTCCTAGATAGTTATTAATACTATTACTATTACTTTTATTAAAACTAGCTCCTTAGTGCTTATATATTAGTAGTAACTTATATAGTACCTAGATAACCTAATTATACTACTTAGGATAATACCTTAATTAGTTTAATCTTAACCTACCCTAGACCCTATCTAGTATAAGTTAATTAACTATTATAGTAAAGAGGTTTTTAATATAATTAAATAGCTTAATAGAGGTATATATCTTAAGGTAATAATTATATATAAAGCCTATATAAAGGTTAATGATTAAAAGTACTTATATAGTGCCTTTATACCTATCTTTAGGTTATATAAAGAGATTTATACTAAATCTTACCTCTAGAGCTAGTAGTAGCTTATATTTTTCTTATTAAATTTACTTCTTTATCTTACTTTAGCTATAGCTCTTATAATTAATAGTTATAATACCCTTTTTATATTAAATACTATAGGTATAGTTAGTTATATATAATATTACTTTTAGGCCTAGGTAGTCTAATTATAGGTACTAAAGCTTTACCTTTCTCTTTTATAGTAACCTTTAGGTCTATAAATTAAAGTTATAGCTATAATTAAAGAAGGTAATATAAGTTATATCTACTAGGATTCCTTTAAAGATAAATTAGTTATATAAGGTCTTAATAATTATAATTATCTTATTAGATATATCTTATAGTTTATTAATACTAGGTTTATTCTCTTAATAAAGGCTTACTTTATTTAATTAGTATAAGGAGATAATATTAATAGTAAAATACTTATAATAAGCTATATTATTAAAGTATAATAATATCTTATAATACCTATTTATAACTTAGATATTAATCTTACTATAGCCTTAGATTAAGATCTTTAAGTCTCTAGCCTAAATAAAGTTATTAAGGTCTAACTTATAGAAATTAATAAAATAGTATAAATAGTTAAAAATATATAATATAGTTCTTAAGTTAAGAAGGGTAATATTAATAAGAGGGTATTTTAATTTAATTACTTTTATATTCTTTAAGTCTCTTTCTACCTAGAAGTAAGCTACTAAAAAGGTTAAATTTATTATCCTTTTAGCTTTTTACTTCTTTAGTTAGGCCTTCTTCTATAATTACTTATATTCTAATTTATATAAGTTAAATAACTTAATTAATACTAAGATATTCTTTATTAGATTATTATTTAGCCTTTAGCCCTTAAGTACCTCTTTAGGGAAAATATAGAAATAAACTACTTTATAAAACTAACTATAAAAGAGGTATAACTTCTATTAATCTAACTTCTCTTACTAATTACCTTTCTTCTCTCCTTATAGCTAGTACTAATTATAACCTTTATTATCTTTATTATCTTTATCTTATAGCTAATACTTTCCTACCTAGGAACTTAATTAGTTCTTATTATTACTTTATACTTAGTAATTACCTTTATAGTCTCTATAGTCTCTCTATACTTAAGGGCTATAATCTTACTTTTTAGCTTCTAAAACTAAAAAGGCTCCTTTTACCTTACTTAAGTAGTTATTATTACTATTATAAGCTATATAAAAGGCGCCTTATATAGATAGCTTTATAAGCTTTACTCTTTTAAGTTAAATATTTAGCTAGGTAAAGATTAAATTACTAGCTTTATTAAAGGTAAGTATATTTACCTTTACTTTATTATTAAAGGAGAGGTATAAGTACCTTATTAGATTTTTAATTATTAGCTTTAAGGTATTAATTAGGTCTTTAAACTATATACTAATATCTTTTATTTTAGCTATATTTATAGCTATAGCCTAAGTATAAATATTTTTCTAATTATTAATCTAAGCTAGGAAGTCTTTTAGTTAGTTTTATAGAGGGGTAATTATATTCTTATATTAATCTTATTAGTCCTTCTTATTATTATTAATAGTATATTAGTTATAAATAGCTAATTACTTATATTACTCTTAAAGTAAGTTATAATTATTTATATAATAAGCTTATAAATCTTTTAAGATTATCTTATTTATATACTTAGTAATTATTTAATATTATTTAAGGAGATTATTATATTCCTTTTAAGTATTACTTTTATAATTTATAGCCTATTTAAAAATAGTATAATTATCTAAATAAAGTTAAGGGAAAATCTTAGCCTTTTTATATAAATATTATATACTAACTACTAGGAGTAACTTAGTACTATTTACTATTTATAATCTTATTTAGTACTATAAATTATTAATATTATCTTAGGTAATAAGCTTATTAAAGTTTAAGATCTTTATTATCTAAGGGGGCCTCTTTAGGAACTCCTTAGTTCTATTTAGATTAATAAATTACTAGATATAAGAGCACCTTATAATTTACTTAAAGGCTAGCTTCTACTTTAGCTAGTCCTTTAGCCTCTTATATTAAATTTTAATAGTTATATTTATAGATATATTAAAAATAGAGTTCTTTAAGTATATTCTTAATAATTAAATTTATATTAAGACTCTTAATCTCTATTAGATAATTAGCTATATTATATTCTATTATAGGTAGCTAATGCTTATATTCTTAGATAGCCTAAGCCCCTAAGATATATAAATAGCGGGAAGTTACTTTACTAGGGCCTATAGTAATAAGGTATATCTAAGGTTTCTAACCTATAATTCCTAATTAACTAGCTGGAAATACTCTATCTTCTAATATATAGGCGTGGTTTCGATTACCAATATTTTCTCTTCGACGGGGAGTTGCTGAGTCTCTTACCCAGTTCTTCGCTCGCTCATGACTTCCATTACCTATTCATTGCCGCAACGCCCACACAAACGAGTAAAGAAACCCCATACGATTTGCGCCAGGTCTCCAGTTCACTCGCACCACTTTTGCTGGGTAGCTCGACTCCTCCCAAGGTGAACCAAATACACCGGGCTTCCACGGCCCCTTTCGATCTGGTTCGATGCCGACTAGCGGGGCTCCCTCAACGTATCAGTACAGGAAGCACAGCAAGTCTTTCACCGGCTGCTGGACGTGTCGAGGGCGCAAAGTCAAGTGTGATGAACGCCGGCCGAAGTGTAGCCAGTGCACACAGAAGGGATTGGTGTGTGGTGGCTATGATGTCCGGTTGCAGTGGATCACCCCCGAGACCGGGGACGGTTCTGAGGCCACGAACCCGCAGCTGATGCCCGTCCCAAGCAGCCATAGGAGCAGAATAACCATGGGTGAGTAGTAGCTGGTGCTTCAGCAACCTGTTGAATCTACTGTAGCTGATGTTGGCTCCGGGCTTGTCACAGGCCCTCCACTGCCCGCGCTGTCACTTGAGAAGATCGATAACATTATACTCACACTTGACTCATTTAATCCCGAGGACTTAACAGCCACTGAAAAGGACAACGATCGGTCTAGATTTCTCAAATGTTTTGGAGTCTTTGGCGCAGCGGATGACCACTCTTCAGTCAGCCTGCTTATGCAATCAACATCGTCGGCGCAACCTACCTCCAATAACATTGATGTCACGCCATCGCCTAACCACTCTTCCAGTCTCACGGAAAATGCACAATTTTCTCCACCACAGGATATTGATATTTCACTCCCGCTCACCACCTTTCATGACAACCACATCCTTGATGGCTCAGACCCCTATTTTGATGACATTTCCATAGATCAGGTTGACCTCGGTTGGCTATTTGATACCCAAAATGCAAACTCGCTATCGCAGGATCTCAATATACAATATAAGACGAACGGGATCTTCGGAAGTCCCTCATGGCACGAACCCTTCGAGCCCATCCCACGTAGCCCCCCTGTCTCAAACGGTATATCTCGACAAGAAAGGTTTCTGATGTACCACTACACAAGCAAGATTGTCAACCTTTTTGTGGTTTTGGAAAACGTGAAAAGTCCTTGGCAAACTATCCATATACCGCGGGCTCTGCAGAGCGCAGGTGAACTTGTCGTGATGGGCTATTCGCCTCCATCCAAAAATGCACTGAGGAACGCCTTGCTATCAATCAGCGCATTTGCCTTATCAAATGAGCACAAGAATCAAGGCAGATTTGAAGATGGCCAGAAATGGGCCGGCGTGGCAACGGGTTTTCGTGGGATAGCTATAAAGCACCTCAAGGAGGCCGTGCAAACCGGCTTCTTCAACGGATCGCGACCCAGGTATAAGGAATGTCTTGCGACAATGCTTTCAATGATCTCAATAAACGTAAGTACACTACTATCACTGAGCAAATTAACTATGGTCTCCTCTAACATGAAACGTAGGTGATGTCTGGCGATACGGAAACGTGCGCCATGCATCTTGATGGAGCATACCGCTTGATAAACCAAGCAAGAAGTTGGAAGAAGAAGTATTCCAGCAAAGCTCAAGCGCTTCACCGCATATACTTCTTCCTGCGGACAGTTTATGAAAGCACTAGGATGATACCTGCGACCGCTCAGAGTAGCAACAGCGACAGCCCCATGCTGGATTGGGGCACGTCAGCTGAGGCTATATCAGGTGTCCTCCCAGAGGATGGCCCAACATCGGCCGGCCGCTCGCCATCTGACCAGTCTACAAATGACATGTGTACATACGCACACATCTACGGAGTGCCTCATAGCCTACTGATCCTACTAAACAGGGCCGTCGAGGTTGTCCGTATGGTCATGGAGGAGCGGGAGCAGACAAGAGTCCGAGGACTGTCATCGGATTTGGCGGCCAAGTGCGACGAGATGGAATTAAGTATCGTGGAGTGGATTTCCGATCCAATCAACGACCCTGCATCTCCGGGAAGAGTAACTCCAACGAACTCGATCATCATGGAGCACATGACTCGAGCTTTCCACAACGCCATCATCATCTACTTTGCACAGCATGTCCGCCTACTCAAGCACCAGTACCTTCAGCCGTTCATCACCAAGGTGATCGATAGCATAGAGACCATAGAAAGGATCAAAGCAGAAGCACACATCTTTGCCGCGCCACTCTATTGGCCTGTCTTTATAGCAGCGAGCGAGGCGTTTGAACCTGCTCTACAAGAGCGATTCCAGAAATGGTACAGGGATGTGGAGATATACGGAATTGGTTGTATTAGGACGGGAACCCAAGTGCTGTCAGATGTCTGGGATAAAGGCCCGTGCCCAGGAGCCACGCTTACCAGTATTTGGAGGATGGTACTTGAGAGACGAGGCGATATCCTGTTGTTGAGTTAAGTTTACTGTGGAGTTATGTTCTGCTTGGGAATAATGAGAGCGAGTGTCACTAGTATTAAAGAAGGAAATGAATCAAATGATGACATGAATATGTACCTATCCGGTGCAAAATAGAAATGCAATACAACAATATATGGCTCCCTGGGAAGTAATTATGCCCACTGATGATACTAACTTGCGTTTATGCCCATTAACACCCATGAAGAAAAGCAGAACTACATCGTTAAACCAGGCATATCCTATCCTCTGAGATACGGTGCTCCCATTTAAAGCTTGGACAGAATGCCATCAGGGGTCAGCAGAGAAAGGAATTCGCAATTGATTTCCGAAACATTGCGACACCTGTATCTGTTAGAAACTATGGGAGCGTAATGGAGGCAACTTGGAATCATAAATGCACATACCCGGCAAGCGCCATAGCAGTCACGAACTCATCGTACAGTAAGTTCAATGCCAGCTCGACACCCCTTTGGCCGTCGTACTAGCCACAAGCTATCAGTTTTTGGTGTACCTAGATTCAGCGTATAGATCAGGCCACGATGTACTCACAGCTAGCCCCCAGATAGCCAGTCGCCCAGCCAAGCAAAAGTCAGCCCCTAGGGCCAGGGCTTTAAAAATATCAGTTCCTCTACGAATCCCCCCGTCAATAGCGACTGGAATGCGCCCCTTGGTTATTGGGGCAACTTCACGAAGAACGTCGAGAGAGGCAGGGACACTGTCCAACTGCCGGCCGCCGTGGTTGGATATAATGATGCCATCAAATCCAGCATTGATGGCGTTCTCTGCATCCTTCTTTCCATAAACTATAAAGCAGATGTCAGTATTCTTGGCACTCGCTGCCCATAGTTGAAGGGAAACACGTACTTCCTTTCCCCCAAATTTGCAGCTTCGTATGCTTCCGAAAAAACGGCATAATATCCTTCCACTCTAAAGAAATATCTTTCGCCTAATGTTAGTCATACTAGGCATCAGATATGACACATCCACAAGCAGCTCACCGTATGCGAGGTCGTCATTGCCGTCTTCCAGATTGGTAACATCCACGCCAGGAAATAAATTCGGCCATTCCATACCCTTTGGAACGCTGAAGTTGTTACGAAACTCATTCAGCCTCCGACCAAGATACGGGCAGTCGAGAGTCACCAGGATAGCCTTAAAGCCGGCAGCTAGAGCGAGTTAGCTAGGATGATTCTTCCGCCGATACAGAAACATGTTATACTAACCCTCAGCTCTCTTTACTACGTTTATCATGACCTGTTTGTCCCTAAGCAGACTCATTTGCATCATGTATGGGTTACCAGTGCCGTGAGAGGCGACTTCCTCCAACGGCTTGCTCGCGTAATTGGATAGGCCCATGGGGACGTTGACGGAGGCCGTCGCCTTGGATGTCGCAACCTCCCCGTCAGGATGCGCCAGACCTTGCATCGCGGTAGGCGAAAACCCGAATGGGAATTTAACTTTACTCCCGAATATGGTGGTTGATGGGTCTAGACTAGTCAAGTCACGGAGAACCTGCGGGCGGATTCTATAGCGACCGTAGGCGGATTCATTTTCTCGGAGGCTATAATTTTAAAAGCAGTATCATGTCAGTTGAATATGGAATCCACAGTGAAAAGGAAGAAATAAATAATAGGCAGTACGTGATGAGATCCATGGCTCCTTCATTGTAGTAATCTATGATCATCCTCTCGTCAGCAAATTGTACATCCATCTGGAACTAGACTGCGCACCTCTATGGGATTTCGGGAGCTTTGCAGAACCGAATAGCTGTAAGTCTTTGATGGAATGAACCTGGTGGTCCCAGGTGCGGCCCCGGTTCGACATGGCTGGCTATGTAATTTCAGACGATCGAGTGTACAGAAGGACGGTATGGATGATGAATCTTCGTGGACAAGACAATGAATGATTAGCAGCTCCTGGTAAGCTTTTGGCTTGGTAAATAGGCAAAGAAATGGCTGATATCCCAGCTCATGGAATCGTAAGCTAGTAGCCCAACCTTATCTCGGCAATAAACAATCCCAGAGATGGAGGACTGAAGCCATTGAAACCGAAACTGTGGGGTGAGTAGCACCAATCGCTTTCGCCTCCCACTCGCTTAAACCTTCCACCAAATTGCCTCCGCAAGGGGATTCCATCCTGATAGCTATCTATGGTCCTAGAGCATGCCTCGGAGAGGAGATAGGAGACTTTATCAGCCATTCACTGTTTGACCGATCGGAGCAGTTCCGAGCAACGTCTTACCACAATCTTGCAGCTCTAATTATCTATGCCACTCGGCAATCTATGCAATTCCGATATGGAACCAAGAAATGCCTGGGTTGGCCAGTGGATTATCCCCCCTTATGTGTGGCTAGTTTGTTCGACATTATTACATCTCACATCAATCTCAGTCTGCTCACTTTGACGCTGTGTTGAGGCGACTGCAACTTAGTTTCTCCTCTCCTTATCTATCCATTCAGTTGTCTCTGTAGAAGCAAACTACGGAATGGAAGCAGCCTTTTATGCCTCTGCGACCAGTTCAATCTCCATTTCCGCCCCTCTCGGGAGCTCAGCCACAGCAACACAAGACCTCGCCTACGATGACAAGTTGTTAGACAATCCAACCAAACATACCTACATAGAATAAAATAGAACTAAAATGGTGACATACAGGTTTGGGGTCTGTAACGAAAAACTCCGCGTATGCCTTATTGACTTCCGTGATATAGTCCATCTTTGACAGGAAGATGTTCACTTTGATGACCTTGGACAGACTGGTTCCGGCTGACTCGAGCACGGCTGCCAGGTTCTGGAGGCTTTGTCTCTAGAAGAAGGATACGCAGCATCAGCCAGGCTATCACGTAATTCAGGCTCGTATTGTAGCACTCACAGCGCGATCGTAGGTTGAACCGGCAACAAATTCACCACTTTCAGGGTCGAGGCCCAGAGATCCGGAAGCGAACACGAAGCCGTTGCACGTCACAGACTGTGACATGAAAGGTGCAGGGGCCGGGGCCTTTGAGGTAAACGATGCAATTCTGGTCATGGTGTCTTGGGGGGGAGTCTTGGTTTGTGAGGGTAAGGATATGAATAACCATCTTGGTCTTACCGAGGCTGCTCCCGCATCTTCATAATAAATATTCTTATCACGTTTATCATGTATTTGTTAATAATCAAAGTAAGAATATCTAGATATAGCAGGCTAGTACTTCCCACTATCCCCAATCACCTAAGGGGGGTGCCCATTACCCACCACATATCCGGCCAGTGAATGTGCACAGATGCGCTAGTGTCCGAGGCAGTAGAGAGCGAGATCCGTGCCATGCATGTTGGTGGTCTACTTCTCCAGGAACATCGGTAAATGAAAAGGCCACCGGGGTTATTTTAGCTAAACCAGTGCCCAGGACTGTTGACACAGGTCGGCCGGACCCAAGTGTTCCGCTCGTCGCTGTCCACTGGAGCATGGCTGCTATTCCTCAACTTGCACCGGCATCGAGGCTTTGGGTTCTGGTGTCTACAATTGCAGAAGGTATCAGAGCGCTTATTTGTCTCAGTCTTAGCTTCAATTTCTGCGACCCATGGCCGCTAGCTATGCCCATAGAAAAGTGTAAGTAGGAGACAGAGTGGGATGAACAGAGAAGACACGGTACGAGTTTGTCAGCTCCTGAAGCGTACCTTTTAAGACAGAGCATTTTCGTCGGTTTACTTTAGATGGTTGATATTTGGCAAGCTTATATTTCATTAAGGATATTACTTCGTTCCAAACATGTTTTTATAGCGTTTGTTATTTTAAGATAATTATATTGCATTGTTGAAAGCATCAATTGAGAAGCAAATGTTGAATAGCCTCTCGATCTGATCCCCCGTGACTCCGCCCAAAACCTGGCGGCGCCGTCACCATCTTTGAGAGATGACCTTGGTAACTAATTAGGTGGGGGGCTAATCGCCCAGATGGTTTTGATTATGTCAACCATTGGTACCATGTTGTTGTGGATAGCATATTCGTTCAAAAGAAGCTTGTCCTTCTTCTTGAGCGAGACAGTGGCTGTAACTCCTTCGACTGACTTCGACGCGTTGTCGAGTCTGAGTTCCAAACGGGGATCTGCCTCTCGGAGTGCGGTGGCGATACGAACCGCGTTCTGGTGGCATTTGGCGGGCCCCCAATGGCGTTTGCCTTCGAAGTAAAGCTCAGCCGTCATAGTGAAGCCTTCGACGGTCTTGCCTCTAGTCCCAGACCAGATTGTCGGGGCATCTGCAAGGGCGGAAGCATCGGCACCAGTAGCGTTCGCAGCGCGAGAAGAACCTCAGCCATGGTCAGTGCTGCACATTGTTTAATGTCAGTATGCGGATGCCCGCCTGTTTTTTGGTGTGTGAGGAGGTTTCCTTTACCTGAATGGGCAAATTCGGTGATTGGTATTCGAGTGTAGAGGAGGGCAAGTAGCTTGGTGCCTTTGTGTAGGTAGTTAAAGCGAGGGGTTGGTGATTAACTTGTTCTATGTCCAGATGCAAGCCCTTTATATATTCGGTATCCTTCTTCTGATCTTCGAAAACCAAATTCGGCACCGCCTTAAAGCTGCATTCCTAAGTTCTGTCTCTTTTTCATTTAGCTACTCAATCTACTTCCGTATATTCAAATAGCCTGCATCCGCATATTTGTTGGACAGTTTCCCCATTTTTCATCGATCAGCTTCACACATCTGATAGACGGCCCCCGCATATCTTAAAACTCTCGCCTGGAATCTTCTCATAATACACTCTCCTAGTAACTTTACTTCTCTCGTTTGAGCATTTGGGTTATGTATTGGAATCAAAACTTTCACAGAGGCCGTGAGTGATACGTAAAAATTGGGAGGCCTTAGCTATCTCGTCACTACCTCCAGCGCTGTGTAACTGTGGAACGTGATGTGGGCTAATACAAAAATAAATCACATTAATTTATGTTCAAGCGTGATTTCTTTTCATTAGAGCAAAATCATACCATGTGCATCTGTTGGTCCAATGGCTTCTAGCTTTCACCGGGAAGTACAGCCTCTAAACGCATGTTCCCAGCATTCTTGTCTGCGACTGATCCTCGAATTAACTCTAGCCTTTCTTGCAGTACCTCCTGCATAGATTCTACAAGCTTTGAGCAGAGGTATTCGGCGTCGTATACGGAATTCCATGCAGTTGGGATGTTGATGCGGAGGCTGTTGGTGTGACGCATATACGCTTTGCCCAGCGTTGACTAGCAGCCTCTCTGCCTTCGAACCTGCTTCCTTTGGAAAGACATGGAATGCGTGGTCTAGACCCTCCAGGGTTATTTTTAGGCCTCAACCTTGCCGAGAGCTAGGAATTTTACTTGTAACACAGCGGGTAGACAATCTACGAGCGTTGGAATTGTTCGCACTGGCATGCACTCTCCCCTTGTTTGACTGATGTAATCGTAGAGGTTTCTATCCTAGGTTATGTCATAGCAGGGAAATAGTAAGTCTTTGCGCTACTTTGATACGAGGTATACTATGCCACCGCGGAAGCAAGGAGACTAGGTCATGTTTTACATAGCGTGTCAGTCGGACTGGTATTCCAGCCCACCTTGAGATGATTTCATATAGAGACTGCAAAGGTTCGTCGCTCTTGTATTTACCTTTATTTGAAGAATTCTTTTTCTCTGGATTATTTGTGTCAATACCCTCACCTCCTGGACAATTTCTTAACTCTTGAGTTCGTATTACTAATATGTGCAGTACATACCAATGGGGAATCAAAGTATTTGGGGAATAGAATGACTGTATGGGTATTCAAAAAAAAAAAAAAAAAAAAAAAAAAAAAAAAAGAGAGAAAAAAACGTATTCATTGTGTTGAGTTGTCGGGCTCTGGCAGCTTCCATTGCTGTTGAACTTTATTCTCTTTCTCTTAGGTTAGGTATGGGTATTCAAGTGGAGGAAAGGCGAATGCGGCGTTATTTTAGAATCTGAATTTTCCTAGGAATGTGAGTCGAGTTCGTTCCAGCATATGCTTTGGAATTGGTCTTAAAGTATCGCCGCCACGTAGGACAACCCAAAATATACCAGTACAATACTTAGGACAGCCTTAAGGCGATCTAGGGACAATTGTACATGTGATTGCAGGCGTTGGCGGCCTCTACGTCTGACTTCTATTTCCTTTTTCTTTTTTTTTGGTTGTTGGGGGGCATTACACACGGCACTGGTATGGCTGATGATGGTAACAGCTGGGCCTGGGACAATTTTCCCATCTTCCACTTGATAGTCGATTATAATAACGAACCTCAGTGCTGACTGGGTACGAGCTTTTAATTCCAGAATGAATGTGCGGCCCTCCATCTTCAATCCCGAGTCTCTGGGTAGCCAACCAAAAATGGCAGGGAAATGACGACTTCCAGGTTGCGTTTGAACAAGGTATATAAATGTTGTGCCATAGTCCTTCTATACGGCTGAACAAAGGCTGAAACGATCACCATTGCGGTTCATATCTGCGGCCTGCATCTGCCTGATGAAGTAAACTGACTCTGGCTGGGCCCCTTGAACAAAGAAAGATGAAACCCAAAGGGGATCTGAGAACCTAATACATTCGTTGTCCACATCCGACCGTAAGAAAGCTAGTTCAGGGAACATGATTCGAAGTATCAGAGACTTTCAACCCTCTCGAGCACCGGCCTTGCTCACATATTAAAACAGCATATGCGAGGGCATGCTCATGCGGATCTCTTCGGATTTTCATAGTTGCACGAAGTCCTCGTGGTGTTATAGTCAGGTTGAAGCTCACAAAAGATAGCCTATTATCTCTCTCTCCTTAATATAATTATTAATAAATAAAAATATCAATTACCTTTAAGCTACCTTATAGTACAAGAGTATACTATTTATTATATTAAGTATTTAAGCTACTAACTAAAAAACGATCAAATAACTTTTTAGAATAACTATATATATGAATGTTGCGAGGAGGGGCCTCTGACCCACCTCTGGAACCAGTAGGAAGGACTTCGCTCTAGACGGGTGAAGTCTGGAGTGAAGAATAACGTGAACTAATGAGTGAACACAATAGTATATTTATACATTCATTTCTCAGATAGAAACATTCTCTTAGACAGTTATTAATACAATCGCTACCGCTTCCATTAGAACTAGCTCCTTAGTGCTCGCGCATCAACAGTAACTCGCACAGCACCAAGATAACCTAATCGCGCCACTTAGAACAGCTCTGACGAGTCATACCCCTGACCTATCCTAGACCCCATCCAGTGTAAGTCGTCCAACCGTCACAAAAAAGTGCTAAGATATATATAGTTTATTTAATTAAATAATTTAGTTATATTTTTAGTTAATCCATTAACTTATATCTTTCAGTAGATTTAGCAACAGTATGTAAGATATCACGTGACCCGGCTACTGAGTTGCCCTCCGCTAAGGTTGCTTCCCCGCTTAGCTTGGGTGCCAGAGCCGCCGAGCAGCTCCAGTCAGGTCTATGAAGGCGAACTAGAAGCAGTCTAGGTCGTTTCGTTGTGCTCCATATCGTCTTTTAATGTTTCATATCCATGTTTGAATACCTATAAAGGCTTCCTTCATGGCAACGGCTGCGTCGGCGGCCGCTATCACGGCCACGGGCATCTCCGTCGTCCACACCCCATCCGGCCTCCCGCCTGACACCGAGTACGTCGCTAGGACATCTGGTTACATTCAACTGCTGTTAACGTCTAGGAAGCATCCTGTTCGTCCATGGACTTCAAGGTCATCCACAGAAAACATGGACATACCGCCAGCCGCCCGATAACCAGGTCAAGCCCCTCTCCCCCTGGAAGAAACGGCTACGGTGGCCTCGGTCTGAAGCGCAATCGACGACTAATCAATCTGGCGCTGTAAAAGTTGCCGACGTATTTTGGCCGCGCGATCTCTTACCTCGACAATGCCCAAATGCTCGCATTCTCACCTTTGGCTACGATTCAAAAGTGACTAAAGGATATACTCCTGCGGGCAAAGGAAGCATTTTCTCTCACGCCAAGGATTTGCTTTACGCTCTAGACCGAGCTCGAGTGCCCGGACGAAGACTCGTATTCGTTGCTCATTCATTGGGAGGAATAATCGTTAAAGAGGTACTTTCCCCTTCCCCCATGTCCACGATAGGCTACCTCAAAGGCTAGGGCTTAAGAGATCACTAAATCGAGTGTGGCTGGGAAGGTTCTGCGGCGATCTGAGCTTTCTGAAGAGAATGGGATCCGAGATATACTGGACTGCTCTGCAGCTGTTATATTTCTCGGTACGCCACATCGAGGTTCTCCGGGGCTGGCATCTACTGCTGACACTGTGCGGATGGTTGCACAGGCAATCCTTCGCGTTGATGCCAATGCAGCAGTTTTGCGATCATTGGGTGTCGACAGCCCGGAGCTAGAGATTTGTCACCAGTCTTTTATGACCCAATGGAGAACGCGCGGGATCAGGGTGAAGACCTTCCAAGAGGCTGAAGCCATGCATGGTGTCAACTTTGGTTTGATGAATGACAAGGTAGGCTCATCTCGGAGCTCACTGTAAAAAATCTTCTAATTGTTCGGCCAAGATCGTTCCTGATTCTTCATCTTCGTTGGGTAACCCACTCGAACATGCTGAGTCGATACAGGCAAATCATATGGGAATGACCAAGTTTCGAGGCTATGATGACCCTGGTTATCAGAAGGTAGGGTTAGAGCTTTCGCGGCTAGTATCCTCGAATTCAGGTTTGTACTGCTCTCCTCATGTGGGTGATAAACAATACTGATATTTGCCTAGACGATAAGACAGGTGCCTAGTAAACCAAACTACCCTGATTAATGAATTGTACTAATTCATCCAAGCATGCATCAATGCGTTGTCTTACACCGACCGTCAAAGCCGAGAGAATGCGATAAAACCTCCTCTGAAAGACACTGGTTCTTGGCTCCTATCTGTGGGTTTATATGTAGACTGGGTACACCGCAACAACGTTGACGAAACGGGCGGCCTCCTATGGCTTAAAGGCAAGCCTGGTTCAGGGAAATCAACCCTGATGAAAGAGGCGTCCCGCCGAGCTAAGGGGGTATGCCACCCGCCCCCTCTTATCGCCACTTTCTACTTCAACGCACGTGGAAGCCCTCTTGAGCGATCACCGATGGGTCTATTCCGTTCCTTGATTCTTCAATTATTCATGCAAAACGACAATTTCCAAGAACATGTGGTGACTCACTACCGCAACGCTACCAATCGAGGTAGCATGAAATGGAACCTGGAGGTCACCGACTTACAAGACCTTCTTATATCCGGTATACAAGAGCAGCAGAAACAGCAACGCATTATGATATTCGTCGACGCGCTGGATGAATGTGATGAGGAAAGCGTCCGAGCTATAACGCGTTATTTCAGGACCCTTGCTGACAGCGTTTACGCTGTTGGAAAAAGTCTTAATATCCTCTTATCGAGCCGCCACTATCCAACAATTACTCTTGCACGGTGTCCAGAAATATTTGTCGAAAGGGGAAATTCAGGTGATATCGCTCGCTACCTCGACAAGAATCTGAGCTATGGGATTGCCAGACAAGAGCATATGCTTGAGCGGCTGCGCTCTTCACTGCTCCAGAGATCTTCCGGTATCTTCCTGTGGATTGTTTTGGTTGTCAGGATAGTTCTCAAAGATTTGGACGACGGGAAAACCGCCGAAGAGATCGAAGAAACGCTAGCATCAGTACCTGATGACCTCGTGGAGCTTTTCAGGAACCTCCTCGGGACACTTACGCAAAAAGAGCGCGGAGAATCTCTCGTGCTTGTGCAATGGGTGTTACTGTCTCCAAGAACTCTCCACCCTGTCGATATCAGGACTATCAAGCTTTTAGGGGTTGAAACTGTGCAATCGCTTCCTGAAGCCATGGAAAAATTCAAAAGGCCGGAAAACGTCGCAAGGGATTGGAACGCTGACTTGGACAGAGTAGAGCGAAACGTGAGAACTTTATCCAGAGGACTCATGGAGATCTCAGGGTCAAAGGTGCAGTTCATACACGAGTCCGTCCGCCAGTTCTTCTTTCAGGACGGCCCGGCAGTATTCGAGATGCCTTACATGATTCCCCTGGGTCACTGCATGATCATCAGGGCCTGTCTCCATGGGCTGTGTCTGTTAGAGCAGCTATATTGGAGACGATCATCTGAAGTTCGGACATTCCAGTGGATTGTCGCATACGCCGAGTACTTCATTCAGCACCATGCCATTGAGGCGAGACACGACGTTGAGCTCCCGAATAAACTACCTCATATTCTTCGAAGTCTTGTCAGAGTGCTTAGATCAAAAGCTCAGTTGGAAGACCCGACGTTACTCAGCAATACTGGCGCGATGATCCTCGTGAAGGAGTGGAAAGAGAATCTGTCTCTGCCTCGTCCGTCGAGCCTACTGCCATTCGACTTGCGTCTCTTTTCCTTGTCAGTGTCAGGGGCTACCCTATGCAACAATATCATACGTAGCCTTCGCCTTTCCTCATCTCCCTGTCAAGTATCAGCGATTGCGAGTGTCCCAAGACTCATTGCCTCGGACACGAATGACTGGGATGACGAGAAATTGATCTCATCAACTGTTGTTCATCATCCACAGTCGCACTCCGATCTTGAGCAGGGCGTAAGTGCATTGAGCCTTCTCCCACATCTAAGAAGTCATGATGAACGGCGCAAAGTAGCTGAACTGAAGTTCTTGGTTCAAGAGGGCTCGGACATCAATGCAGTTGACTCGGAAGGCAACACTGGTCTGCATTTTGCCGCTTGGAAAGGATTAGCCGACCTTACTCTCGCGCTCATTGCACAAGGGGCCAGGGTGGAATCTTGCAACAGTTTTGGGATGACGCCTCTGCTCTTGGCCTGTCTATACGGGAAGCACTCCCTTGTCGACCAACTGCTCCGATCAGGGGCCAACGTTCAGTTCAAAGGCAACGATGACTATACGGCTTTGCACTTGGCTGCGGAAGCTTCCGACGCAGCGATGGCGCAGCAACTGCTTTCCGCAGAAGCCGACGTCAATGCCGTGGATGCGTTTGGAAGGACCCCGTTGCACGTGGCCATATTTTACGGAGCAGACTTGCAACTGCTAAATGTGCTGTGTGCTTCCGGCGCCAATCTTTTTGCAAAAGATCGTGCCTCGTTCACCCCTCTAGCAATTACCGTCACACTGGAAGACATGCTGCTACGGTACGACCCTCGCCAACAGGGATCTGGAAGCAGCACCAATTTTGAGAAGATGATGGTATCTCGCGTTAGCCACAGGGAAGGCCAGGGCCCTGCTGGGGGATATCTTTTTGCCCCTCCTCCTCCTCCTCCTGCCGTGTAAAATCATCATATATAGGTACGCCACGCGATGCTAACAGAGCATCAAACTGAGCTAGCGGGCCAAGGAAGGCAGAGAAGTCATATAGTTTCTGGCTCAGTCCTTACCCTTGCCAGATTTACCTGAATTGCATAGCATTTAACAGAGCCAAACTCTTATTCGTCGTTGGTTGTATTATGTGCTTCGGTTCTAGTTAGAACAGCGTCTCGACTCAGGTGAATGGAAGCCATTACATTCAATGACCTTGCTTAACGTGAATTCTGGTTCTCGAATGATTCATTTTCTATTCCTTAAATGAGAGATATATTTGTCTTCAATAGATCATTTCCGGGCCGCAGAAAAGACTACATTACTGATACTCCAGATAAGTGGCATAGGGTAGCTCTAATCCTCACCATTGGTTGCAAAAAGAGGTACCCACTAGGACGACGCTTGGGGAGAGGTTAAAATTGCTGTGCATATGCATACCGTGGTCCCACAGCACAGCCTCAAGCCTCAATAATGGAGACCGCCTAGAGCAGCCCTACCCCGACCAGGATCCCCAAGGCATTGCAAATCGTGGGCAAAATGCGCTCTTAGCCGTCCCTAGCTAGAATAGCCAGTGAAGGGGCATTTCTAATGTTGATTGAGCGGCAGCAGCGCCAGAAGCATGTCAGTACAGGGAAGTCTATATCAAAGATGTCGTGGTGACCAGAGGTCATCTTTGTATGTTAACATGATTGATGCGAAAACCTATAGGTCCAAGTATTCCCGTACATGGACCAAGACCTTTCCTGTGCTAGAACCAGTTCCCAACCTCTGATATGCTTTGAGCACATCGCTGAATTGGAACACGGAGTCTACCACTGTCCTTACTTTGCCCTCGGCCATTAACGCAGCAACCTGCGCCAGGTCCTCATGTGAATTCTTCGTGACGTACGCATTGAAAGTATTCTTGTTACCATTGAGGAATGCCGGAAGATATTTACTCGCCAGCAGGTTGTGCCCCAAATTCCATGCCGTTGAGAGCGAGCTTGGGGCACCGACAAGTCGAAATAACCCCCCAGGCAGGAGAAACTTGTCCGCCGAGCCAAAGAGATTCAGGTTGCCGACATTGTCGATGGCCACGGCGTACTTATTACCACCACTTTGCAGTGCCGACAGGATATTTGTTTTCTTGTAGTCCATGACCTCGTCTGCACCAAGCTCCCGGCAGAGTGCGACCTTTGTGGTTGAGCATGAGACGGTGACATGGCAGCCCAGTGCCTTGGCGATTTGGATGCAAAATGTACCAGTGCCACCGGAGCCACCATTAATAAAGACCTTGTCGCCTGCCTTGACAACGGGCGCCAAGGTCTGGTACGCTGTCTGCGCGACGGTTGAGGCGCCGGCAGCCTGTTCGAGAGTTACCGTCTTGGGAATGACAGCGACGTCGTCGTACGAGGCAATGACGTACTCGGAAAGTGAGCCTGCAGAATTGAAAGGGAACATGCGACCAAACACATTGTCCCCTGGCTTGATATCAGTGATATCGGAACCAACGGCGATGGCTCTGCCGCTGAAGTCGGTGCCGAGAGTCTTGGGGAACGGCAGCTGAAGTCTGGCTACCAAACCAGCCTCTGCCAATTTGTAATCTGCTGGGTTGAGGCCGACAACAGCGACTTCAACAAGGACTTTGCCCTTCTCAACATCCCTGGAAGGCCGAGGCGCGGTTGTGAGAGTGAGGGTCTGAGAAAGAGGACCGGGATTGCGGACTTGCCAAAGGCGCATCTCATCTCCGTTCGGAGCCGGCATCGTTTCTAACGTCTTTTAAATGCCATAGGATGTTGAGAACAGATGTGGGGAAGTTGAAAGTCTGGCGAATTCAGTGCTCTAAATAGTAATCCACTATGCCGACCGCAATACGGGATTCGGGCTTGGTGAGACGTTGAAGTCTACCTTATTATGGTGAAAAGCCACTGGGCTTTGACGTGATTCGCAACAAGCGTCATGTAATTTATTGGGCAACGATGGCTCCTATCTTGCCCAGCCCAGTGCACACGCACAAAAGCTTCTAGGATCATTTCATGGTATACCGCCTTCTAAGGCAACATGTGTATTAGCTCATTGGCCCAACTGAACTGATATGTGTTGAGAAATATGCCAGCCGGAAATATCGAGGTGCATCGGTGGAAACGGCGGATTTCGTATGACGGCTTTCGACTCACCGGCTTACCCCTCGGCGACTTTCGTTTCGGCGACTTTTCTTCATGATTTCAGCGGCGGACTTCGTCTCGGCGGGTTTCACCGAATGTTTAGGTAGTGTACGATCGGCCCAATCTCGTTGAAAGCTCAGAGGCCCTAGAGGAGGAGAATGTATACAAGATAGATATGATGTGGAAAAGGCTACCGGTTCGCGAAAATCTCCCGCCGAATTGTGCGGGTGTGATAGAACTTGCATGGAAAAGAAATGGCCATTCAATTGATACATGCAGACAAAGGGTGTACTAAGAAGAAGAGAGGGGGGGGGGGGATACAAGGTCGTTTGATAAATCTTCTCTCTAATCTCTCTACATTCATAAATACTGGCCTTCCTTTGTATGTTATTAAAATAATGAACAAAGTCTCTAACTAGCACAAGTGCTAAAAGTCATCCACCCGGTCAATAGCCAGAGTCAAGTTACCTCTCCTGTGCTCCCTTTCAACAGAGTGGGTAGATTGAGACTAGCCTTACTTCCTGCATATAGGCAGAGACCAGGAGGGGAACCAAATGAACTACCAGCCATTTCGTTCATAGCTTAAATGAATCCAGTGAGTCACCCGACCAGAGCTCTTACTGTCTGCTTCAAAAGACCAAATAAAGTCCTAAGGATCCTTGTGCCACTTCGGGACTCCGCAATAGAACGGGTGCCCAGGCTCATAAAGGTCTGAGGAGTGACCAGGCTTAGGGTGCCAATTCCCTTTCTTGCTGTCATAATCTGGGCCCATGACGTATCTCTCCAGAACAGGTTCCAAATCTCAGAACAGGTTCCAAATCCCAGAACAATGGCAGGAATAAATGAAAGTCTTGCAGCACTAGGCCAGACTCCTTGATATAGCGGACAATATCAACGTATGACGCATAGCAAATTTTCATGAACCTGTCCCTGTCCTCGTCTTCCTCCGTCATTCTGACTGCCTCGTGGTCCATCTCATGGACGGTGATTTTCATGAACAGCCTCGAATGACCGCAATGGTCAGTCATAAGTCGAAGAAGACGGCGCCATTCGGACTTATTCGCGTCCCAGTCTTTTGACCAGTCGAAGCCGAACTCCACATATCTAAGCCGCTTCAGAGACTCCGATGGTATCTTGCTTAGCATGTTAAAGGTGCAAGACAAGTCGGGCTCAAACCGGAAGGTGTTTGTTAAATAGAGGACTTCAGAAGCATCCTTGGACAGTTGCCGGCTCACGAGAAAAAGCTCCAAAGGTAGAGGCCTACATCGACAATACGGGCTGTATAATGCGTATTTAGAGGTGCAAGAACAATGAAGCTTGGTAAACGAGCACTCAAGACAACAGGTTCGTATGGGATAGCTACAGGGGATACGACCCACCGCTCGATGGTCATATTTCCCTCATGACGACGATGGTGTTGTACTTTGGATTAAACGAACCTCCCAGCCCAAGGTTGGTATGCCAGAGAATCCGAAGACGTAGTTCCTGGGGTAGTTCAGAGAACCGAAAGGGCTGAGTATTGCTCCTTGTTTCAGTAAGGCGAGTCGCGGTTTCTCTTGCGAGCGACTGGAGGGCATGGTCAGGTTTCCTTCCGAGCCTGATGGTACAAACCTTTAGGCGAGGAATCGAATTCATCGGCTCCAAAACACGGCGGGCCATTCCCAGTTGACCAACATCGCCGGTGAATTCAAGGTGGAGACGGTCGTGTGGGATATGCGACAGGACCTGACATATAGCCTCCCATTCATCAACAACACGGTTGGAGTATTTATCACTCGTTGACATCTCGGGCTGGCGTAGAAAAAAGCCGCTGGTGCATATCATGCAAGACACGCTTGTCGCATTACTATGTCCTCGAATGCAAGGCCAGCTATTCAAACGGATGAGGAGATGGCGCAGAGCACAGTGCATCATTTGGAAGCATTCCGATGACCTTTAGACCGTCAGCACGTCCATGTCGGTTCAAAACGAAATTGTTTTCACTATAGAGAATTTTCTGGACCTCGCGGTGGAGGAATTTGCAAACGGTGAGTAGTTGTTTAGGAAACTCCGGGCATAGGCAATCGGGATCATGACCATGTGAGACACAGCCCGGTAGTCATCGCTGGCGAAAGTCGAAGGCGCAAGTGTGGACCAAAGGCAGCTCCCTTGGGCCATCGAACAACCAGGCTCGCTCACCAGGCAAAATGGTGACGGGGCATTCTCTGACCAAGCCAGCGTAGAGATAGATTCGCGTTCTAATGTGATACGGGAGGCAGAGAAGCGGTGGCGAGCATGATGGTGATGAAGCTGCCATGGTTCAGAGCTTTTTTGGGACATATAGTGGTTAGAGTTCATTCAAAATCAAACATGTCTGGACATGGAGGAGTGCAGAGAGAAAGGGAGTGTAGAGGGAGTTGGTACAGGGCGGGGGCAGGTGTTGAAATAGCTGGGCATTTGTAGTCTGGTCTCTGAGTCACGAGACTTGACTTGCAGAGCCTCGTCCATTCTTGATTCAGTCAACCCCCGTGTTTATAAAAAGACAAATAGGGAGCATCTTCCTCTGGTAGGACCTGTCTCTGAAATATTCAGCACAGTAGACACAACCAAAAATCCACCAACTTATAACAATGAATGCCACCTTGAGGCTGTTGAAGAAATGCGTTAAATGGATATGGTTTCCCCCAAATTCTTGATATCCAGTCCCCACGCTTTTTATCATCTTCTTTCCTTGTTGGTGCAATTTTTCTCTTAATCTGAACACTATTATTTTCTAGAGTCTTTCCTTTCTCCTTGAATCAGCGACAGAGTGGAGTGCATCTGAGTTAAGAGCAGGAGGTCGTTGGCAAACTCGGCGAAGGCCAGACTAATAGACTGTCTTTGCCTTTGAGGTAAAGGTTGTTGAGACTGCGGAGGTTATTTTTTTACTGGCTTTTGGACAAACTGCTTCGAGATACAAAGAGAAAGAGGCGCTCATATCTAGCCTTGGGCTTCTTTACAATGTTGGTTGATTGAGAATTTCCGGGTTTTATCATTATTATTATTCCCCCCCTTTTCTTGATTCCCTTGCAAACGTTTACTGAACTCCACAAGACTGTTTTCCTTTGTCAGTTGATTCGGTGGAGGTGTTATAGGTATTTCCGCATCGGTCGAGTTGGCGCGCCTTGTTGATGGATAAAGCTGGGAGCAAGCGATGGTCTGGAGCAGACAATGGGATAAAGAAATGGGCTTGAGCTTACCTAATTCATTTTAGAGATTCCAGACAGGAAATGTCGTCCGGGGTCATTCCATCCATTTGGCGTTGGTGATTGGCCGCTGGGAATCGCTGAGTTGCATGATTCTGCATGACTGATGGCCTGTTGGTCGCCTGGGTAAATTTCTCGCCCATCAACACAATGAAATCGCTCATCTATTAATACTCTGCACCTTCGCAACCCTGCGTAAACGATGGTAGGAATAACCCGGTACGCGAAATCCACGGCTTGCCATAACTGTAAGCGGAAAAGAACAAAGGCAAGCCAGACCAGTCCCTTCCGTTGCTTTAAGATGGCACGCTCATTGAAAACCCCTCAGTGTGATCAAAACTGGCCCACGTGCACCCAATGCATTCGCAAAAGGGTTCAATGCCCTGGACCCTCGTCCTTGGTCAAGTTTGTTCCCGCCGCACAGCCTCCTGCTGTTGGTTCGTCGAGTGTCCCAGAGTCGGCAGAACCACTCCAATCAGCAACGATGGTTAATCGGGGACCAATGAGGCCCTATGGAGACGGAGGTGCAATTGAAGGGTGCTTCCGCCTCCAATTTCCTCGTCCCTTAATGAGCACAGCAGCAGACCGTGTTGGAAGGCAGTTAGTCGGCCTATACGAAAAGAGAGAAACCAGTGCTTACGGAGGGCCAAACTATCTGGAGTTCTGTCCCCAGAGACTATCGCAAAGTAGTTGCCTGGTTGACTGTGTGGCGATATATTGTGCCAGCTGGGTTCAAGCCAACCGTGGCAGGCCAGCCCTTGATGTTCTTAGATCCCGTCTATTCAAAAAAGCCATCAGGAGTCTTCAAAGTGCGACCAATAGCAACGAGGTTTACACTCCAGAAACCCTAGCTTCTATGGTACTCTTCGCTCGCGTGCTGAGTTCTACCGGGGAATATGCGCACGTCGAACTAAGAGACCATTATATCGGGATCCGTCACGTCGCTAAGCAAATGGGTCTACCAAATGAAGGCGATTCACTACACAAAAGCCTCATTTTCGCGACCTTGGATGCAACGGTATGCTCCGTGCTCACTAACCTTTCTTGTACAGTTCATCACTGACTAAATCGGATGCAGCCCGCTCTAGTAGGAGTGAACACTAATGTGCAAGAATCACCTTGGAAAGAGCAATTAGTATTGGGTGACTCTCCCTTTTGGGAAAAAGACAGTGAAGGGGAAGAAGATGAAGAGGAGGCCGAAGTCGAGTGGGAGACAGAAGATGAAACCATTACGGAATATGACGACCCGGACATAGTGGTGGACGCGTACCTAGCAGCGGACAGCAAACTCGAAGATGTTGTTGCCCACCTGACGAGAATCTGGTTGCCTGAATTGCTCGAAATTTGGACGAATCCTCTAGAAACAAAAGACCAAACTATCTCTCTCATGAAAAGGATATCCAAGGCCGAAAGAATATTTGGGAAGTCCGTCAAAAATGCATGGAGAGCCTGCCTCTCTGCGGGCATCATTCTTAAGTTTCAGGATCCGAATTTCTTCCTCGGCCACAGGTATTCTCTCGGAGAATACACGGTAACCGGGAATTTTTTAGCAATGCTCCTACACCAGTCATTTCTTGTACGGATTCTTTACGAATTCAATCAATTGCTCGGGGTTCGAGATGAAGCGCTGTACGGCAGGTATCGTGACTTGTGCGTGCGCATCTGGGCATGTGTTCCCGGCTTCTCCAATTTGGACCCTGTCTCTGCCCTTGGCCTATTCAAATTCATTTTGCCATCTTTTGAACCTGCCACTGACGAGGAGCTTCGGCATATCCTGAACCTGAACATAGAGCTGAGCGGGCATGGGGTGACGGGTAACGCAGATATACAAAAGCTAAGGCCAATTATCATCATGGTAGGGAAGAAATATACCGGGCGTGAAGATTTCAGGGCCCCACTGAATGATAATATGGCATAATTAGGGTTAGAATTGCTGCATCCCCAGTTGGCAGCTTCTTGGCCTGAAGAATAACTTAACTGAGGTCTATAATGAGGTCTATAACTAAGGGTAGTGTCTCATCAATATCTTTGTATTCATACCGACAGCGCATAAGTTCGCAGGTACTGATACTAGACTACCTACCCATAATGATAGCACATCCAACCCTCTTCCCCTGTATTCTTGTTAACCGATCAGCCGAGCTTCCTTCTGAATGAAGTTGGTGTATTCGGTGACTTGAGGGTAGTTTCATATCTCGTAACTCCGACCTCATCTGACAAACTTCATTCGATGGAAATTCATGAGAACCTGACACTTCCGCGCCAACTTGGGCGGTGATGGCGGCGTGCAATACGTGCTTTATCCACCTAGTATTTGCCATGTCATGCCAAGAAGTTTTTCGAGAGTTCTGGCGATTGCAGTGGTTACTTTCCGCCAGCCATGTTTCGCTATACTCCTAGCCCTTCTCCTATCAGAGATTAAAGGAAGGGCTGAGTTTGGAAAAGGATGATAACTACCTATCTAGAACGCCTCTGAATGTGCTTAGAACAATCTATATCCTCTACCAGGGGGTGGCAGCCAGGAACCATCATAATGCGAGGGCTGGTAAGAGGCATTGACCTCCCAGCAGATGGCCAGTCTTCGTTTTGTACTTTTTATTGTCGCTAATCATGCACAGTGCCGGAGTTCCGTGTGGATTTTATTGCGGAGTTCTCGATATGAAGCTGACCACTGCTTGCCCCCAATTCGCCGCCTGCCGTGATGCCGCGAGACTTGAAGTGGTTACTCGTGTTCCGATTGAGATTCTTCCCCACCGCAGTCGGCAACATCATCCGGCCAGAATCCTCCAGGACGTTAATATGAGCTCCCTCCACGCCTCGAAGACGGGGAAATTTCCGCCTGTTAACACGGATCTGATCGTACAAGTGCCCGAGTGTCCGCTCGAGACCACGTTGGCGGCCTCTTCCCCATGTCAGTTTCGGCAAAGAAGAGCCGCGTACGCGACTAAATGCATCGACTTCTGTTATAATAAGCCAAGGCAACCTAGCTGGCTATCGAACCAGAGATGTGTGAGACCCAGTACTAAGAACAACTACAGACGAAGCGCGACGATGAAGCCGGTTCTGTTCTATCTCCTCTGGCCCGTGGCAGCTCTCGCGGCCACGACCACAAATCTCACCACAACTGGTTGCGTTGACACCTCAGGCCTTCAAAAGTGCCTTGACAAGGTTGCCTCCACTGCGCAGACCTGCCTCGATAATGCGCGCAAGGACGGCAGTCAGGTCGAGACGCTCGCGTGCGGATGCGTGTTCTACACCGACAACATCAACTGCTACGCTGCCAGCTGCTGGAACCGCGTCTACGAGTGCGAGTACCAGGAATATGTCTACGAGTATCTGAAGAGCTGCGACACCGCCAAGCCTCCCCTTCCCTACTTTCCTGCGCCGGATAATGCACAGGATGCGTGCTCCTGCAACCTCGGGAAGGTGTACGAGACGTTCCTCAACAGTCTTAATGAGGGTACCTCATGCATCAAGGGATCATCATCCTTCGGGACAAGGGATGCCCTTGGATCGATCAACAAAATGGTCGCTTGCCAATGCTGTGCGATGAGCGGAGCACTTTCCGGGTAAGATAGCAGCCATCTGAACTGTAGGATATCTAGAGGCTTACCTAACTTTTGCAGCATATACGAGACATGCCCTGACACGGACCCCGATCTTGTTGGCTTGTCATATGTATCTCAGCTCGAAACCCTCTACAACCAACCATTCTCCGCCTGTGGCTCCTACATGTCCTCGTACGACTGTCAGAAGGATCTCAGCTTCACCGCCGCCAGCAGCTTCATCTCGCCCGGCAGTGCCCTTACCACCGGCAAGGGAAGCCTCTCAAATGGACCTGGTAGCGTGACCAGCCCAGGAAGTGGTTCCGCTTTCTCATACACCAACCTGGCCGATAGTGTGGTCTACACGATCACGGCTGCGAGTGCGAGTGGGAATCAGAACAGCGGAGGAGGCGGTAGCTCGAGCGGCTCGGCTCAGGCCAGCGCAACTGGCAGCAAGAGCAGTGACCAGAAGGGCACAGCTGCTGTTGGCATCAGTGGAGCAGGCAGAAGTGCCATGCTGGTGGGTTTTACATGGCTAGTGGCTATTCTATAGCAGATCAAAGAGGACGGTGTTCTCACACTAGTATTCGGCATCAGTCATGTACTTACGAAGAGATATGTATCAACAGGCTCTCCTACCTTTTAAATAAAAGTTGAAGATTCTACCCTCATAAGAGGGCCCACCCAAAGGCCTACGGGAATCCTATCCATTAGATACTAAAAGGTCTAAAACTAAGCCTGAGGCGTTATCTATCCAGTAGGCCGGGCTGATAGACATAAATCTTACTTAGCGGGTATTTCTTTCAGGCTGTCTCTTTCAATACATCAATGAAAGCAATTCGTCTAACCCCAAAGGTCTCTAGTAAGATATCACGGTTAGTTGAGGTTTATACGGCTCACTCTAGAATTATCTCAATGTTAATGAGAAGTTCGAATATGCCTCATAGCTATCCCTAGTATGTAGCATAGGCTAGAATTATATCTAATCCGTACACACCCTATTTCCTAAACAGGACCCTCTTTGGTAAACACTCTCCTGTAGTGGACTAGAAAGTGATAACACCCCAGGTCTAATCCTAGGTACATCATTCTCCGCTGTTGATCCCCTGGCAATAGTTCCTCTGAACGCCACTTGCTTGCTTGCCAAGGCTGGCTCGTATGCGTGTGACAACATATCGATCGGAAGTAGCGACTTTGTCAAGGAGAGCATTCCCCAAACGGTCCAGACTCTCCTGGTCCTTTGAGATCGAGTCGCGGATAGCGTTACAGACAGGGGCCATGCCAGCGAATGGCTGCCGTGCGTAGTTGAGGTTGACGTACACTTCCTGGTGCTGGCTGCTCCACTGTTGGCAGACAATGCGTCGTCAATGTGAGTGGACAAATGAAGCATACGGAGCAAATCATAGCCGCTACTTACGCTGGAATAGCCATTCATGACTATTGTAGAATCAGAACTGCTATACTGGGAGGGCAAAGCTTCGACAGAGGCAGATATTTCGTTGGCGAGACTGTCAATTTCAGCGATGCCTTTGAAGATATCCTGAAGTAGGCCCAACACATGTTAGTCGTCTCCAAGACTGCGAGGCAGAAGACTACTTGAGTGTATCACCTGGAAGCGGCTTGATGGGCTGTTGATATTGATGCCGTCCTGGGCCGTGAGCTTTTGGGCCTTGTTGATGCAGCGGGTGGAAATATTCTCCATCTTCTTGAATTTATTGCTGATCTGCGTCGGCGTGAGAGCTGTACCAAGAGCAGCACAGCTCAGGACAAGGAATGAAGCGAAACGCATTCTGCCAGATGGACGTGATGGGTAGACGACTGTAAGTGAAAATGAAAAGATCGATGGATTGAAGAGAACCACCGGAATTCAGGACGATTCGTACTCTTTATACCTGGCACAATCAGCGTAAATCATGGAGAGGAGCAGCACAGGACCCAAGTCTGGACCGTGAAAAGGTCGACGGCGGTCAATGCAACTCGGCTTACTCCGTATTCGATGCAGCTCTAAGCTCGTAAGCTGCAGCTTCATGCAGTGGTAGGCAACGGAGTCGTTCTACTGGCTGCAGCTGTTCAGCTCGGCGTGTTTATTGGCATCGTATTAGCCCAGTGGCGTCTAGCTCTGACTGTTCCGTGTCTGCACGTTGTGCCGGTTTCCGAACGATGCCCCGAACACCATGGCCCAGCGACTTTATTTTTAAGCTTCGATACCTTACTCTTAACTATCCGGAAGGCAAAAGATGGGGTTTTAAAGTTATTTGGACAAGATCCGGTGCAGCGATGTCGTGTTAGCGACTGTCGGTGGAAAAGAGGGTCTTTCAGCTACGCGCTGGATCAACACTACAGGCATATCCGCGAGCATCAATTCGCATTTGTGGAGAGCTGAGCTGGCCTGGCCTAGAAGAAGTGAGACATACATGACTAGGTGCATCTTGATACCGTGCTCTGGGCCTAGCTGCTTCCACCTGCGCTTCGTCTAGGTCAACTGCTGAGAGCTGGTCGTTCCCATACCTGTCATTTGTTGTTCCACCAAAGTCGCCCCTTGCATCCTCCCAGCAGGGGTGTCGCCGCTCGGCAGGTCTACAAATACCTACGGCAACCAACTTCAGATGCATCTACGGCGTTTCTTTTGCTTCATTTCTTTTTTAGCATAAAAAACCAGCAAGAGTTTTTATGTGTGTTGAATGATTCTCGACGTAGCTCTTCCAAAGCTTTCGGGCGTGGTTTTTTAAGCGACTCGAGGGCTGCTAGATTACTAACACCAGGACATCAGAATGTATTGGAGCAGAGAGCAAAGCTGATCTACATTCATGAATAAGGCCCTTGGTAAAATGAAGAGCAGTTGATTCGTCTACATCTATTTACTAGCTTCGATAATTTATACTCAACCAACAAAGTCGCTTAATTTGGGAGGGTCTATGGATAATTCAGGCGATATATAAAAGAATCAAGTTGTAGCAAAATGTATAACTAGTAGAAATTCCCAACCTGCCAGAAACCCTAGGAAGCCGATGCCAACACCTAACCCAAATAATGCCATCTCCTCTAGCAGGAGTAGGCCCGTACTTGTGCAAAAAGTGCAGAATTCGGAGTCCGCATGCCCAGATTGCCACAGTAGTTTCGGTGCGCAGGCCCCAGCGGCACCGACATCTCAGCCATTACTTGAAGAATTCTCCGGTCTGGTTCTAGATGGGCATCTTCAGCTCATGGGGCATTTAGAGCGCGCAACTGTAGAACCGGCCAAGTCTTCGAAAACGGTCTCGTCTAGTTGTACAAACTTCGGCTTCTTGTTTTCATTGGTCTGGATCAATATTCGTCAGTTTTTTATTTCTAATTTCATCGATATATGTATGACTAAATGAACAAAGTGAGGCGGCTATTCAACTTACCAAACATCCAAGGGCGATGAACTCATGCCGAACATACCACCGACGATCATTATTGCGCATAATGAACCCCATTGGCGCCCCGACCACATGCTGGCCATCATATTTCCCTTCGATCATCCTCTTCGGGTTAAATGTGGTATCCCAGATTCTGTCCTCGACCGATGGAAGGTGGCCCGGTGCGGAAAGGCTGAGTATTTGGTCACCACCAGTCAGCTGGACCTTGTTCTCGATTTCGACAATACGCGTTCCGACCGCAACCATCTTCTCTTTTTCCCAAAAGCTCTCTCGCGATGTGCCAAATTCTGTTATCAACCGCAGGGCCTTCAGCATGATGGACCGATCCCGGCACTTCATGAGAATGAAATACGCCAGCGGGATGAAGCCGATTTCAAACCGAATCTCCGGACCGATCCTACTCCTTTTTTGTCTCTGTATAGTACGGCCGAGAATTTCCGTGTGGATGATCATCTCACGAAATGTATCCATCCAAGCGTCGAACTGCATCTCGTCCTTCTCCAACGCCGTCGCAATCCATATCTGGCAGAACTTTGCACGCAGCACAAACGAAGAGTATCTGGCGTCCGCGTCTCCCATGTGTGGAAAGTTCTCTCGCAGGTTCCCCATCAAGTCCTGCAAGTTATCTATCGACTTCGCCAGCATTGTCTGTTGACCAAGTAGGTCAGACGGGGCAGACTCGGTAGCTAGTTCGCCGAAACGGTACTCGTCAGCACAACGAACAAACTGGAGAGAAAGGGGCAGCAGCTCTTCAAGCGCCTCCTCCGCATCCTGAAATGTTGTGGCAACGGACGGCGGCCGCTCGTATGTGTTGAACCCCTGGATCGGCGGTGTTTGCACGCCGAACATGAGGACCATGACCTTCAAGCGTTGGAAGATTGGCGTCAGCGTCTTCCTCGTTGTCTTGTCCACCGTTCTCAATATTTCGAGGCCGTGCCGAGTGTGCGTGATTGCTTGATCTCGATTGCCTAGGATGACTTCGAGGCAGATGAAGAGCACGCATGCTACCAGAATGGTGGACGATTCCTTGACCTGCCGAAGCCGCGTGACGGCAGCGGAGTAATGCTGCAGAGCAACCTCATTTCGTTTTGACAGAAGCTGCTCCTCGTTGTCGCAAGAGTACTTCTCATAGATTGAGCTTATGGCAACAATGGCATGGCGCACAGCCGGCTCGGAGCGTCCCAGCTGCAAAACAAGATTTGTCCAGAAATATGAGCTGTGGGGTTCAGCTAGCGTTCGAGAGACGCGGACGTTGAAGAAATCGATAGCTCTTTCTTCTATCGGGCTAATCCGCTGGGGGTTGGGAGTTAAATTGGTCAGAGACTCTATCCGGCTTTGCTCCGGTTTTATGGCCACTCGGTCGGACTGCTCAGTCAGGTGGCATTAGCTGCGTTTTTTAACATCTCCGAGGGCCCAAAGGTTGATTCTAAAGATGGACATACGCGCTGATACCTCCTTGAGGAGAACTTGGAGGATGCTTTATCCTGGTCTCGGCCACGCAAGGTTACTGTGGTCTGGTTGACGAAAATGAGGTCCTTTTCGTAACCGGGACAAACGTGCCCATGTTTGATACATTGAGAACAGCTGGGGCGCTGGGCGTCGCACTGCAGAATATTGAATCAATCAGCGGGATATTCAACGGCTCGATCTGGCGTTTTCGTGCGAGGAGAATGGAGTAACTATACCCTTCTTTTCCGCTTCATACACCAATGACATGCTTTGGAGCGGCCTGGAACCCCCACCATGGCGGCGTAGAATGGAACTTGGGGTCAAGAAAAAGATCTTATGTAAATGCGTCCTTGTATGCCGACTGCAACGATCGGTATGGTAATGCATTTGTCAAGAGGCCGATGAGGTTTGAATCTGCGCCGGTTCTCACGAAGACCAACGACATATGACCAAAAACAAGGCCCCACATCTTCATAGGCGCGGAATGTCTCCATTTACGGAAATAATCCAAGAGCCCCTGCTAATTAGTTCGAGTCTACTCACTTGGGCTAAGCACATAAGCATAATAAGCATCGACCTTGGCAGGTGGATAACCCAAAACATGGTAGCCATGAATAAGGACAGTGTTAGCGAGCACAATTACAGCAAACTATCACGACACCATCCCATACGGGGTTCACTGCGGGTTTTCATTGGCTGCAAAGACTACCGAGTTCCTAAGCCATACATAGAAGATCTGAGGCTGAGCTCAGCTCAGCTTATGGTGTATCAGGCTATTGACTGATCCTGCCGCCTTGGGATGCCAAGACCGGCGTTCTCGTGTTCAATGATTCGCGATCCACCAGGAGATCAACGGCGCAAGGGACAGAAAGGCGAGTGCTGTTATTATATACTTCGCGCGAGTTCCGGCATCTAGAGGGGCATGTGTTGACCAGAAAGTTAGGTTGAAGAAACAGTATTTGACAGGCCGAGTCCTTTGAGTATTGGCCAAGAGACAATCCAACCTCAAACAGGCAAGATCCCGGCAGGAACCGAATCGTTACCCACCCCATGACCTTCCATATGCCGGTTGTAAGTCCAATATTGGTCTGTGAACCCTGTCCCTAGTTCATAAAGTAGGGGTCCGATGGACACCCGCCACAAAACTCGGGGTCCGCGGCAGAGAACCCGCGGCAGAGTATCCGCGGCAGAGGTCTTCAGACTAGATACTCGGAAGTGAAGTGCCGGATACGATTGGAAGAGCTCCATGGTGACGAAATTGGACATGGGAGATACTCGGCACTCGCCCCAGCTTCCTTGAGCACGAGCGACGACGTCCGGCAGGCTGAGCTCTTCCATGTCTGGGTTAACACCGCCACAAAATGTTTCCAGTTTTACTTGAGTAGTGGCGGTTTCCAAAAAGGCCATCTCCACCCCGCGTCCGATTCGCTCGAATCAGCACGTCACCAAGCAGGCAAATATCCCTTGGGTTATTAGCAGGTTAATGGTCAAGTTTAGAGCCGCCAGACGAAAGGTTTACAACTCCTAGCATTCGATATACAACTGATCCGGGATTTTTATGGTAAGGCTGGCACCTCTCTACGGCAGAAGATGTTATACACTTGGCTAACGAGCCAACTTCTGTTTGGTGTATAGCGATACGAAACAGATAAGCCAAAGGCTGATCCCTGATAGACTTCCCCTCAAAATTTACGATTTCCACCAATCATACAGGCATATTCGTCGGTTGAAGGGATCCGGCTGTCCAAAAAAAGTATCGAAATACGGCTTCAAGTGGGGTTTTTCCACGACACCGAGTTACATCTGCCGGTTTGGACAAGACATCACCTGTGCCAGAGCGCTAACGGGTCTCCCGTCTGACATTGTCGGCCGACCCTGTGGATAATCAGCCTTATTATCTCCGTGCGCACCCGGTGGCGAGAGGGACACGTTCGGGACCGAAACGCTCACTGCTCCCGAATGCGGCTACACATAAACTCCAATGCCTTAATAGATTGTTGCCAGTACTCAGGATGTGAGGCATTTGTAATGCTACTAGATAATTGGTCTTGGTTGTACTCGGGTGCTTGATCCACGCGGAGTTTGCTTATAATGTTCTGTTCCCTCCCGGGTGCTGACCTAACCGAGCCCATCGGGTAGGGGAGCTAGGCCGGTCAAAGAACCCGCGTGAGACGACTTCGGTTCCATGATTCCACTCGTGTCCGTTGATGCCTCCATGAGTTTCCGTGGTGCTGAGCGGACGATGGTAAGACTGGGCTTACGGTGCGGCCGTCCTGTCTAATAAGATGGGGTTAGGGTGTTATTGGTTGGATACGCCCATCTAGATGGCCCTGGCTTTCGCTCAGATATTGCTGGACGACATCTCAATGCATATGTAGCTTGGGTCATGAGTGTTCAGGCCGATATTTCAAGCGGCTGTTTAGTACAGCGAGAAATCTGACAAAGGGACTGTAGCCCTTGTTTCAACCTTCAGAAAACCCCCTCTAGCTCTTCCGTTTGTCTGAGAAATTATCACAGAGCTTCAAATATTCTTATATGCAACTTTCAAGCTTCAGCCTCGTTTATGCGAGCTAGATTGATGATCTGGTATTTCAAATATCAGAGAAAGGGGCAGCCAGCCGAGGGCTAATGATACTCAGTACATTTCCAATACGCCAGGCTGGTCCGACATGGCCTCCAACGCGGCAGGATTTGAGATCCAAGTCATTTAAATCGTTTAATGCAAGTGGAAATACTCATTATCAACTCGAAGAATCCCGAAAAAAAAGGACGAATAATTAGCTCAAGAACAGCTTGATGTGGCTATCTTGCGGGAAATTTGCCTCGCCAAATGTGGCTGGAGGCCACGAAACTCGACGCGCCAATCAATATCTTGCCCTCGACCTACTCTTGAGAAGATTTGTGGTTCTCTGCCAGTAATGACACGTTTGGGGCTATGCAACAGGATCGATTTACAGAGGCTAGAGGCCCAATAGGATGTTGCAGCATCACGTGAGGCGTGCGGCGGGCTGAGTAACACTTTTGTGATCACGCCTGAACGCCGTCATCGTCCGAAACATGGGGTTCGGTACATCGTTAGTTTCAGGCCGCGGCGATGGAAGATCTGGTGTCGGGCCTGGCCCTTCATTGGCAGCTACAATGCACTATCGAAGAGGGTTGCACGACTCACACCAAATACGTGTCTGACCATGCGAGAGGCATCCGTCGAATGCCCATCCAGGAGAGGTGGGAGCGTGATGAACAGAGGCTGGGGCAGGGCACCTTCGGTGTTGTTTGGCGAGAGAGATGTACATCGGGCCCGGACACTGGCAAATCTCGTGCCGTGAAGCAGATTTTCAAGAACTTTGGGTCGCTGTCGATTTCCGCTAAGGCTCTGTCAGCCGAGCTCTCTGCCATAATGAGGTTCTCCGATGAGGCGGTATGTTGTGCTCATCTATACATTTGCTGTCGGTCATTCGCCGCTCACTATACCACAGTATCGCGATTACTTCGTCAGGTCATACGGTTGGTATGATACCAAAGATTTTCTATACATTACGATGGAGTATCTCCCACTTGGGGATTTATCGCGGTATTTGAAAGATCCCCTACCCGAAGCACAGGCAGCCAGCATAAGTTTGCAGGTCTTGGAGGGACTCAGATTCATGCACCAGAACAAGTTTGCTCACCGTGATCTCAAGCCGAACGTAAGTCGCTCGCTATATAAGTCAGGAAACGACGATCAACTAATTCAACAGATAGAATCTTCTCGTGCAGCACACCGGTCCGTCATGGTGGGTTAAGATATCTGATTTCGGCACGAGTAAAGAAATGGACATGGCCACTCTGTGCTCCAACGTTGGGACTGTTGCGTATCAAGCGCCGGAGGCCCGTGGAATTATTAGATTAGATGATGCGGCCGGAGGAAACCAACTGCTATCCCCGTCTGTCGACATTTGGGCTGTTGGTGCGATTGCTTTCCGTCTCACGTCTGGGCGGGTGCCTTTCGAAGACCTCTTAAGCCTATGCAAATACGTAGGCCAGGGCGAGCCGTTACCATTTGAAGATGGCATCAGCGAAGGGTCCAACACGTTCGCTGCAAGGCTTATGGCCCCTATGCCACATGATCGGCCCACTGCCTCGGAGGCCCTCACTGATCCATGGTTGAGCTTCTCGGCATCGGAGTTGGATGGATCACGCATAGGTCGTCCAATGACGGCACTGGTTAGAGAGCCAAATTCAACCCAGGACCTAACGGAAGATGCCTCAGCACAGTGGCCACCTACTGAACAAGGTACTGAACCGCCTTCTTATTCAGCAAAATCCCCAATGGATGTCTCCCACGGTGCCGACGTTGGCCAGCCCATTGGACAAGATCGGCCTGCTTCACCAAGTTCGGATAGCCAAAGGGTGTCCAGGAATCGCCGGCAATCTAATGCAGAGACAGGCGACAACGGCTCTCACCTAAAGGATGACAGGAACAGTGATGCTTTGGAACATAATGTACTGCCCCGCCATAAATCCAAGCCTTTAGCTTCGCCCAAAAAGCGGCAAAATCCACCCAAGGTCGAAAATCATGGGAGCGGCATTCACAAAGGCCCGATGCCTAGATATCTGGGTGGCAAAGGACTAACGAGGTTGAAGTTCAAAAGCCAGGGCTTCATATTGCAAGCCGTTGATTATTCTGACGATGGAAAAACACTCTTCATAATCACAAATGGCTACATCCATACCTATCATTCGGTAGGGGAACGGCTATGGGATCAGGGCATAGCCATTGACATACGGAGAAAGAGGCTAAATTGGAAAATATGGGAAGGGATCAAGGTTATTGACATTCACGAGACAGGCTTTCACAGTTTCATGATAGCTGGTCACAGCCCGGTACTTTTTGCACGCGATATTGAAGGAACGAACTTTGTGACTACCTACACCAGCGATGATCGAGGCGGTTATTATCGGCCTTCCACGTTCACGATCCCCTTGAAGGAGGGAATCACGGCCTCGGCATTTTCTGGAAACGGAAAATTACTCATCCTTAGCTGTTTGCATGAGTTGCAGCTTTGGATTTTGGCCTCTCAGTCTCTGCAGCAGAGGATCGAGGTTCCAGATAAAACTTTGGCCCTGGTCTTTTCCACTAATGGCTCGCGATTTGCCCAGATAGTAGAGGGGCCCTTCGTTTCTGAGAGTGGCATTGCCAAAAGATTAATCGGTGATTTCTCATATATATGGGAGTACGATGAGACTACAGATGGGTTCGTAAACCGCGACCGTTTTGAAGGAGTGGTGCGGAAGGTGTTGGATGACGGGGGCCTCTTCCTGTCAAGGGGTGGGCGTCTGTTCTTCCGTCGTGGGTCAATCGAGACTGATTTGTTGGCATCCTCAACGCCAGACAACTACTCGCACTCTTTCTCACGCGATGCCCGGAAACTAGCCATGGCTTGTTGGAATAGCGAAGCAAGATGTGTGGGTGTTACTGTTTGGCATGGGGACGGGGATGGCTTCTCGAGAAGACAAGAGCTCCTTAACCGTGGCTTCCAGTTTACTGGCCGCTGTATCTTCTCTCCTTCTGGTCAACAACTTGTATCCATCGATAGAAAATACGGGCATGATGGTGTGTTCATTTGGGACTTGTGACGAAGGCGGGGGTCTGGGCTCAGAGTTAGAAAGCGTTATCTTTTGAAGAAACCAAGCCAATATGGAACATGAAAGATTATTGTAGGCTTGTTTTGTGGTTATTGTCGTCAATTGAAGACTACCTCACCCAGCAGTTACGCGTACAATGGTCATGGAGGATTGGTACTGCCCTTCGACCCAAGAGCTGAGCTGATGTGCGCTGTACGTGAGCACAGACCAGGCTGGAGGGGCAGCAAAATTTCCCCCGCCATCAATTGACCACCCACCCCACTACATCGAGTCATCCCATTTTTTTGTGTGTGTTTTCTCTCACAGTCATCGCCATTCGAGTACCAGCTCTCCTGCATCCAGAGGAGACAGACTCGAACCAGCACACCGCAAAGCTGCTCCCCCTCCGAACACTCCTCCCCAGGCGTCTGAGCGCCGCTCCCCTCGCACGAACCGCCCACCGATTCATTGCCACCATGGCCGCCATTTCTGCCCAGACCTACACCCCCACCGAGGAGGCCGAGATCCAGCAGTGGCTCACCACCTCCGAGCGCCTCAAGGCCGGCGACGACAAGTCCTCCATCATCGAGACCCTCAACAGCCACCTGTCCAGCCGAACCACCCTCCTCGGCGCCAAGCCCAGCAAGGCCGACGTCGCCATCTACGAGACCCTCTCCCCCGTCGTCGCCCAGTGGTCCCCCGACGAGCGATCCGGCGAGAAGGGATACCCCCACATCGTCCGCCTCATCGACTTCGTCCAGAACTCGCCCATCTTCGGCCTCGACGTCAAGGGCGAGAACAAGATCAAGGTTGACGCCGACGACGTCCGCTTCGTCAAGAAGCCCGTCGACGCCAAGGCCGAGAAGGAGCGCCTGAAGAAGGAGAAGGCCGCCGCTGCTGCTGCTACTGCCGCTGGCGGCGAGACCTCCCTCGTGGACCGCACCAAGGAGAAGGTCAAGGAGGTCGTCGCCGAGGCCAAGGGGGCCGTCGCCGGCCAGGCCAAGCCCAAGAAGGAGAAGAAGGAGAAGGCCCCCAAGCAGCCCAAGGCCGCCCCCGCCGCCGCGCCCCTCTCGCCGGCCCTGATCGACCTCCGCGTCGGCCACATCCTCAAGGCCATCCAGCACCCCGACGCCGACTCCCTCTACGTCTCCACCATCGCCATGGGCGACCCCGCCGGCGAGGACACCACCGAGTACGAGGGCCAGGTCTGCCGCACCGTCTGCTCCGGCCTCAACGGCCTCGTGCCCCTCGAGGAGATGCAGGGCCGCAAGGTCGTCGTCGTCTGCAACCTCAAGCCCGTCAAGATGCGCGGCATCAAGTCCTCCGCCATGGTCCTCGCCGCCTCCCCCAAGCTCAAGGAGGGCGAGGTCGACGACCACAAGGGCCCCGTCGAGCTCGTCACCCCTCCCGAGGGCTCCAAGGCCGGAGACAAGGTCTTCTTCGAGGGCTGGGACGGCAAGTCCGAGGGCATCCTCAACCCCAAGAAGAAGATCTGGGAGACCTTCCAGCCCGGCTTCACCACCAACGACTCTCTCGAGGTTGCGTTCGACGCCAAGGCTGTCGAGCAGCTTGGCAAGTCCGACGTGGGCAAGCTGGTCACCGAGAGCGGTGGTGTCTGCACCGTCAAGACTCTGAAGGGCGCTACTGTCCGATAAATACATTCCTCATGGGCGGACTCTAGAGACTAAACCTAAAAATTAAACGACAATGACAAAATAGAATATTGGCCTTTTAACCACTACGAGTATCTATCTTCACGGTGAATGAGTGACTGGTTGATGATTAATTTTGAATTTTACTTTTTTTAACAATGGCCCCGAGGCATCTCCCAGCTGGCTGGCCTCGTCTGCCGTCTCCCCCAAGTTTTCTATTCTACACCTGATGAGAGTGATGTAAACTCGTCGCTGTGCGTTATGGTACATGAAGTATGGGTAAAGTACAATACGAACATGTCGTGTGAAACATGAATCGTGCGTGTGATGATCATTAAACCGAGCCGTCTTCCCCTTTTAGATGTTGTATGTAGTCTTTTCCCATCCTGTTTTTATTTTGGAACGCCGGGAAGAAATGAATAATCGCTCGCGATCCCCCCTGCCCCGTCGGAAAAAAAGTTGAAATAAGTCAAAACGCCTGCAGAATGCATTGCAATGTTCATGCGTAGCCGAAGTAGAGAGGCTACGCCGAGGTTGGCGGCATGTCGCCACGCGGGGCCGAAATCAGAGCTGGTGGTATGTGGTGATAATGTACAGTAGTAGGTAGGGTTTAGGAGAAAAAGTATTGGCTATCTCGGAGACGCTTGACGTCGAAATCACCCTGTTGCACATTAGCATTTATATACTTGTCAAAATGGGACTGTTGAAACGAACCTTCTTCGGAATGGCTGGGAATGTCATTGGCAGCCATACGGGAACAAAGTGAGGTCCTGTCGCAAAGTGGTTGGTCGAAGACTTATCTGCGTCATCATCGTCTCTGGCCAAAGCCTCGTCCTCCTCCTTCTCGCCATCAGTGGAAGCTGCATTTGACGGGATACGGCCCAAGCTGATCTCCTGGACGGCTTGTTTGACGCTGAGATCCTCCTCGGTGGCTTTCATATCCTGGTAGACACTTGATGGCGTCACAATCTTCTCCGCTGCCTCCAAATCCCAAGGAGTGCCAGAAAGTCGAAGAGTATTGCGCTTGTGTTCCAAAAGAAGCTCCTCGACACTGGAGAGCTTGCTCGAATTTCGAAGCTCCACAATCTTCTTCGCTACAGGAGACTTGCGGTCAAGGCGAACAAGGTGCAGGGAACCGTTGTGCCGCGCCTTTGCCTCGGCTGCCAAACGTCCAATAACATCATCTTCGTGAATTTGAACGAACGCTTCTCTCAGGGTTGAGTTCATCGTGTCGACATCGGCAGCGTGGGTCCAAAAGGAATCGTGCACAGCAGCAAAGGTCAGGCCCTGCTCATCGCACTTCAAAGCCGACAGAAGCATGTGGCTCGCGTCGAGCGAGTGGATAAAGTTTGGGGGAAATCCTTGGAGCTGCTTCCTGCGGTTGACGGGGTCCGTCTGGTGGGTTCTTGTGTAGGTGATGGCCTGGAGACTGGTTTTGACCTCTTTAACCGTTGACTTTCTGTATGGCTGCACAACAGGAAAGCGTAGAGGTGTTGTCCAGACGACTGTCGATCGAAAGTTGGTCTCAAGCTCAGCCAGTTGTTTTTTGGCCTGTCCCTTCGATTGAGCTCCATTCGATGGCTTGCCTGCACTGTAAGCATTGGCAATCTGGTCAAGTTGTGAACTAGTGAGAGCTTGGCAGACTCGACCGCCAACCTCGCCTAACCAGTACTGGATATCATGAGCACCACGGAACATGGTTGCGAGAGCGGTGAAGACATGCCGAGCGACGTAGGTGGCGAGAGTCAGGTGCTGAATGCCACACTCCTCGCCCAGGCTTGGATAGAGCGCGTCAATTTGCTTGCAGATTTGCTTCTTTGCGCCTGAAAACGTGACACCGTAGACGTTGGTCATGACTGTTTGCTTCACAACCTTGCGGGTAATTTTCCCATCAAGCGCTTTAGCGTGCGGATCTCCGTTTGCGAGATCCTCTGCAAGCGCTTGCTTAACTAGATCGGCAACGGCTGAGTACACATCTGCGGGTTTATCACCAGGCTCCAGATTGACTTGTTGAGCGCCCCAAGTATCACCACCGAGGGCAGCATAGTGTTGAAGTCCGTTGCATGTACCGTCCTGCTGGACTGGGAGATGTGACACATACTCGGTAGGATCAGGTAGTTCGTAGGCAGCGCTGAGCTCGAAACATGCCGCAAGGCATTGCCAAGGGTCTCCAGCTTCCAGCCACCATCGGCTCCCATTGAGGGGATTTCTGACCGAGTCCTCTACTTTCTCCATATTCTCCATCGCAAAGGCTTCGCGATCATCGAAACTAGCCTTGTCAAGTCCGTACACGTTTGCGAGATGAATCTTGAGCCACCTGAGGCCACGCTCGCCCAGCTTCTTACCCTTAGAGAATCTCAAAATACCACGAGTATGATCAGCGCCCATGTGGTTCAGGTAGGCCGGGATTGGATACGCTCGGCCTCTATAATCGACATTGTGGGGGAAGTAGAGTGGCTGATTTCGGAACGTGCGGGCAATCTCAAGCTGAAGATTCATGAAACAACGCTGTGAATGGAGACCAGAAATCTCGTTCTGGGCAGCTTTCACTGCACGGGCCCAGTTCCGGTGAATTGAAGGGTCTTCGGATTGTTCTGGCTCTGGAGGTATTGGTATTTCGGGTTCGAGAGGTGGGAAGTTGGCGAGTTCCTTGCCCGAGTTCCACGCCTCCATCATGACATCAAGGACTGGCTGATTGATGCGCCAGGCTGTCTTCCCAAGAACATCAATTCCCTTGCAAAGTTGGTTGAGGTCCCCCGATTTGATAGCTGCGTTGGTGTACATCTTCTGTTCGACATCGCCAGGCTTCACGCGTACCAGATTGACCTTGCTGTGAAGGTAGCCTCCCTCGTCAAACCGTCGCCATGGCTTGGGCTCAACAACCATCGGCAAATGCTTGGCCAAGAAATCGCCCACTGGTTCATTCTTCATCCACTGGATGAGTTCGGGGTTCATCAAGAGGCTACCGATCTTCTTGCCTTTTCTGATCATCTGCGTGTGTGTGAAAGCCGGTTGGTACTGTGAGATGGTTCCCTCTGTTGGGTGATCAATTGTAACCTTGATCTTAGCGGAGTCGAGGAAGGCTTTGAGGAGGACAGCTCCGACGTGGGTCGTCACGGCTGGGGACCATGGCTGATGAATTGCATCTTTAAGGCGGCTATGAGATTCTGGGTGCTCTTCGACCATTGGCTGGAGGTCATGGGATGGTGCAGCCGGCGTCGAAGCTGTCGCAGCTTTGGCCGCTTTCTTCCACTCCACTAGGCGTTTCCTCCGAGCCTTCTCCTTCTGCTCTTTCTGGGCATGTTTGATATCTTCCTGGGCGGCCCTGCCAATGTGCCTAGTCAATGCGTACACTGGAAG